AACACGACTATTGAATATTTTTTCGTTCTTCGTATAGTATATATATAGGCTGTTTATAACTAGCAAACTATTGTTTTTACTATACGATGACATTATTATGCATTCTTTTTCTTTTTATCTTCAATCTATTCGAGATACATTGAAAATAATCCTTTACTTAGTATCGAAATGCGTCCACATATGCTGCCATAGTTATTTTGAAATCTAATATATAGAAGTAAATGAACGACTTAATATTGAAATATAAAACTTTTTTTTATTTTAACAGTAGCGAAAATGTTTTGTAATTGACAATGTCAGCTAAAAAAGACTATCGAAAATGACAGAACTCACATTTACAAGTTATTTTCGATCTATCTTGTTTAGATCGAAGATAAAAAGAATGTATAACGGTGTCATCGTATAGTAAAAACAATAGTTTGCTAGTTATAAACAGCCTATATATATATACTATACGAAGAACGAAAAAATATTCAATAGTCGTGTTGTATGTATCACTATGTAATAGTGCCACCATAATTACACAATATCAGTTGGGTCCATCATAAAAAAAGATAGTCTATATAGAATTTACTTTTGCAGTTTTTCTGCAAGAGTAAATTCTGCCATTTTTGATAGTCTTTCTTAGCTGACATGACATTGTCAATTACAAAACATTTTTGCTGCTGTTAAAATTAAAAAAAGTTTTATATTTCGATCTATATTGTGTTTCAATTTATTATGATTTCGATAACGATCTAATAGCGAAGCAATCACGCATAGTTGCACGTAATTAAGATTTTCTTTTCGTAACTAAACGTAATTGCATTGCAGTTACGACAAAAGACACCGCCGCATGGATCTTTTACCAATCTTGTTGGTTTTGCGTTTAGTGTCTCTTTCTATTCATTCTATTTTTTTTTCTTTCACAATATAATTTCAAATTATGAATTTGATGATCTGTAACAAACATAGAAGACGAAATGACACGAATAACGGTGACTCAACAAAAATTTTATCGTGTTTGGCATTATTCATCTCATTTTTCAAGGATTTTCATATTTTGAAACAAGAGAAATTTAAAAAAACACAATGAACTGTCGATAAAATCGAGCTTATGAAAGAAGTATATAGTTTTGGTCACTCTTGTTATCATTATTTAGATATAAATTTGTCCTCATTTATTATTTTAATCAACAATTTTCTTTTGCTTATTTACATGATATATTTAGTTAATAAACTTACCCCACAATTGTTTTCTAGCAGAAATATCAGCAATATTATCCTTCAGTTGTTGATATATTTCTTGAGTAATAGCTGTTGAATAATCATTGCTTGAAGATATTAATGATGTTGTTGATGATAGTATACTATTTGCATAAATATCTGTTATATCTGCATCGAATAAATTATTTGATACTGTTCCACTTTCACATAGATCATTAATAATTAAGTTAATAGTATAATAAGAAAGATTTTCATCATCGAGATAATCCTTCACAAGAGCATTTGCTTCTCATATTTAATTTTCGGTGATAATATTGTTGTAATACTATCAATTATATCATACTCAAGTTCTTCGACTTCTTGATTGTCAGTCATAGAAATCGGATGATGATAACAAGTAGGCATCACTGATAACAGATCTAAAAAGAAAGGAAAAGAAAAACTACAGATGCAACATAGTATTCTTCTGCGTATCAATAGAGCACGAGTCGAAGAAAAAACAGAATTATCTCAAGACGACAAATAGAATGTAAACAACTAAGAATAGACCAATGCTATACTACATATGCTAGTCCGCAGCAGATCTTCGAAGTATATTTAAAAAAAGAAATCTTGTTGACGTAGCTCCTTTGATGTTAAAATGTGGAAGTTACATTTTCCATATAAAATAGCAGATAATTTACTGTAGTTTTCGTTTTCATTGTAATGAAATATACTGTGAAGGTTGAAACAAATGAAGTGAAATAATGAAAAGTTTGTTTACTTATTAAAAGTGATCAACTTTACTGGAAAAAATATGAAATATCTTTGTTTATATCATTTTCGGTATGATTAAATTGTTATGATTTTTTTTAATATGTAAAACTTAACACAACGTTGATTAGCTGATGATAGAGAATTTATTTTCTTTTTTATCAAGTTATAATACTATTGTTTTGTGTGATATGACAATAATTTAAAATAGATGAACTAATAAATGATTCTAGAAATATTTCTTTAGTATTGAAATAGTTACAGATAGATGTTGAAGTGCTAATTATTATAAGAGAAAAAAAAAGAATCAACATAACAAGATATATCGAAAAAAGGAAAAATTATTTTATAAATGTATCAGCTAATCGATATAAAATATTTAAAAAAATTTTAAAAGAATTTAATGAAATTTAGATGGTTAAAATTTATTATTGTATTTCTATCAAAAAGGGGAAAAAATGAAGAACTACCCATGGCGTAAAATATCTAAGGAAACGCACTGTGTAACGCGTTTCCAAGATTGGGGCATGCATTTCGCAGCGTTTCTTCGAGACGGAATGCGTTTCACAGTCTTTTTACTTATATAGAACGCGTTTTGCTGCCTTGAGTTTTTGAAACGATACGAAACGCTTCTTTTTGCGATTACGTTTCGAAGCGTTTCCCAAATGAAACGCTGTTAAACTCATTAAGTCGACAAGAAAAGCATTGTACAGAGTCACAACTCGGAGAAAATGCGAAACAGGTTCTTTTAAAATGCATTTGCATCGGTTACGCTTCGAATGATGCAAAACTGATCTCTTTTGTTAGAGCATCTCGCACCAATTCATCTTCAAAAAGCATGTGAGTTAAGAAAAGTCAACTCTGATATGATTTTGGAAATTATGCGAAATGGTTTTACAAAAAATTTGCTGATTGCATTGTTTTTGATCTTCAAGATGGCGGTGCAGGTCTTCCTTAGCCAAGGTCAGAATTAAGTTCTTCTAAGACTTCAACGAATTACGTCGTTTTCTAAGGCTGTTTCGAAGTTAGGCTAGTATTGAACATCAGAGTGTATTCCACAGTTATCTTCTGTTAGAAAACTCATTTCACTACGTTTTCATTCAAAGAAAACGCGTTTCGTAGCATTGAATCTAGAATTCTGTAAAATGTTGAAGAATTTGAAGCAATTCAGTAAAGACTGATGCAAAAATAATCCGTAGGACAGCTCAATGTTGTTGTGTGAAAGAAGTATTTTCGGATAATTTACGATTTATAATAATAATTATTGATTATTTATGTATGGACTGCGTTATAGTAACTGATTATATACTCTCCGAAACATGACTAGAATATCACTTTCGTTCATGCACTATCCATGTATGTAAGTGCGGCTTTTTGATAAAAGAGGTTCGAATTACATAAAAAATATTTTTGTAGTTGTGATTGCACTTGGATTTACTGATCATGGATTTACATTTACAAAAAAACATTCAATTCAACAAAAACTTTGCAAATTTTGCAAAATTACGATTACAGTTCTTCTGAATTTAAATTTACGAAATTTAATCTTTTTAAAATTTTTAATTCAATTTATATGGAATTAAATTCCTTTTAATTGGGTATTAAAACTTTAAAAAAATAAAGTTTTACAAATTTAAATTTCTAAAAGTTAAATTTAAAATAAATTGACGGAAAATGACACTCTTCCTTGGATAACAGCAGCAAAAAGAATATCATTTTTCATCGATTCATTCAGACGTGAAACAAAATTTATTCGAATCATAAATTTGTACAAGACATCTAAATAAGAATAGAGCAAACACTTATATCATTTGACCATTTTAGTTGAACGGTTTGTATATATATCTTCTATTCTTATGTTCTCCTGTTCGAATCCACCTCTTAACTTTATCGGAACTAATGTAAGTTAACTCTATAATTCTATGAATTAACGTAAACCAGCACATAGATCGCACCTGCAAGTTGAGTTCTACGAAGTACTTGACGGGTTTTGTTTTTTTCTATCCTTCAAAGTATGCAATACCACAGATTCAGAAACACTGCGAAATGATTTTAAGAAAAAATCGTTTCGCAACGTTTATTTTAGCAAATGTGAAACGCGTTAAACCGGCCAGCATTAACGCGTTTTGCAGCTATGAAAAAACGCGTTTTCAGAACGCGTTTTTTTCGCAAAAATTTACGCCATGGGTACTGGATTGTATATAGATATAATTTGTTAATAACAGGTTATTTTGTTACTGCTACATTATTGTGTGAATTATGTTTAGTAATATAGACACAGAGTTACTGTACACTAAAATTGATTCGGATGTAAATGTTGATTATATGTTTATTTTCAAGAAGATGTGAGTGTACGCGAGGAGAACACTAACACTTCACAGCTTTTATTCGGAACTAATGCTCTCATCACTGGATGCTCTTATTTGATCGACAAGACTCGATTCTGTTTTAAATTATTTTTCATGTTGAAGAAAACTACAATCATCGATTTTTTTGGCAATTGTAGCATTTCGTAAATCGTATAACAACAGGATAACGAAATTCTTCATCGTGAAACATCAATTTGATCTAAAAATAAGTCAATATCAATCTTCGAATGCGGTGTGGGATGTGGGTGTTGGTGTATTTCAATCAGACACCCACACCTACACCCACACCCACACATCCACACCCACACCCACACATCCACATCCACACCCACACTCACACACCTACACCCAGCCACCCACATCCACACTAACGCCACTCTCGAAGAACGAGTCGACGGCATTGAATTTGTTCTTGCTCAAACCGAACCATTATTGATTCTTCTGATTCTTGAACATATCTGGTTCAGATTTAGAGGTTTGAATATATTTGACAATAAGGATTTAACAGCTCGAAGGAGATGATATTCTCTCTTATATCGGGCTAATTACACTAATTCTCTCATTGTATCTATTCTTGCTGATTTCCATAATACAAACATTCTTCCTATTTGCCGTCATTTTTGTCTTTACCGCATGATTCTACTTTGTGGACATTTTTTTCTCCAACTAATGGAAACATCTGCAATTAAAAAGACATCTTACAATATATCTCTATATCTGTTTTTCTGCCATGATTTTCTTTGTGATAATTAGAGTATAGATAAAAGATGAAACAGAACTAGCATATTTTTTTTTTATTGAGTCTAACTTTCTTTGAGATAACTCAAGCGTAAACTGTGCAGTAAATGATAAGCAGTGTTTCTCATATTTCATCTAATCTACTATTCAAAAACTTAAAAAAGAAATACATAGTGCGCGTCAAAAATCTGGTCTCACTTTTTTATTTTGAGTCGTGTATCAAAACTATCTAATATAATTAAAAATTTGTTTTTATCCCTGTATAGTAGAGGTCGAGTACCATCTGTATACATCTGTTTTATACGAAAAGTCATTGAGTATAAAATACAACGAAAACAAACAAACTTCAATGCTCAGAAAAAAAATGACATAAAAAACTACAAAATTATATTGTTGTTTTAAATTTCAGTAGTTTCAAGAAGGTGCAAGTAATTTAAAAATCGAGTAACATTCTTTCTTTGATATTTTTGCATGATTCGATAGAGCTTGTCGAGCTCTACAAAACTGTCTATATTAAAAAAATTTTCAAACTCTTCTCTGAAACAAAATTTACAAAGAAGTATGTAAAGAGTATACAAAAATCTCGTTTTTTTATATGAAAAAAATTGTCCATTTTTCATATAAGAAATAGAAAAAAATGCAATTCTTTTTTGTGAATTTTATTTCAAAGAAGAGTTTGAAAATTTTTTTTAAATATAGACAGTTTTGAAGAGTTCGACGAGCTCTATCGAATCATGTAAAAATATCAAAGAAAGAATGTTACTCGATTTTTAAATTACTTGCACCTTCTTGAAACTACTGAAATTTAAAACAACAATATAATTTTGTAGGTTTTTATGTCATTTTTTTCTGAGCATTGAAGTTTGTTTGTTTTCATTGTATTTTATACTCAATGGTTTTTCGTATAAAACAGATGTATACAGATAGTACTTGACCTCTACTATCCAGGAATAAAAACAAATTTTTAATTATATTGGATAGTTTTGATACACGACTCAAAATAAAAAAGTGGGACCAGACTTTTGACGTACATAATATATAATTAAAATTATTTAGCCAATGCAAAGATTTGAATGCTTATTAGAAGCTTCTTACATATTTTGAAGAGAAAAAAAGAAGAGAATTAATATATTCATTTCTATATATCCGATGATGTCCTTCTCTTTGAACTCATCCAATATAATCATTCAAAATAGTACGGATCGTTCCGTGATAAACATCTTATCATTATTAGTTGCAAGCTTAACCTGTCTATGGTCATTTATCATTCTCTTCTTGTTTGCTTTGCGTTATCGTCAATGGATAAACCGAGAAGTGTCGATGATTCTACTAATAAATACCTATATAGGTATTTTCTCTACATCTATTATTTCACTGTCTTTTCGTATTGAGACACTGATTGGTGATTTTCATCTTCTGAATACAGTAGAAGAAATCGTTTCAACTGAATGTCGTCTTCGAACCATTTTTTTATATATATTTTCTGGAATAGTATTCAATGCATGTGCTCTATAAGCGGTTTTTCGTTGCATATGTATTGTTTAT